ACTTAAAATTCATTCCTCAATATAGTAAAAGGAAATGCTCTGGAAATAAGATTTAATAAAATATCTCTTACCTTGGCACCAACTTTATGCTTTCAAATGAAGAAGGAATAGATATGAGATCCTTCAATTTGTCAACAGTGTGCCCTCTTTGCTAAAGTAGAAAAAATTATGGTAATTCTGCAACATTTCCATACCTTATAAAAAGGGTTTGCTTTTATGATAATCTAAAAATCGATTGCCTCCAATGTAAGCTCTGTTGTTATGGCTTTAAAAATATGCCCTCGCATCAACAATTTTCAGCAGTGAAAATTCAAGTAGTTAACAAACATTTAAAATGTGAAAATATGCTCTTCTTGCTAGTAGTGTTCTAAACAATGATGACAGTGCAGTAAAAATGGACAGCTTTATGTTAATGCACCTTGGGGTATCGTTAGATATGGGAGAGTCTGCAGTGTATCTCAAGAGTTTCAAAAATGTTCACATCCTTTGAACTGACTTCTCTACCTAGTCATTTATCTTAAGGGGAAAAAATCACAGTGAATACCTTGGAGATTCTGAATTTAAGTAATTATTGGAATCCTGTTTATGTACTTCTTTAAAAAGACAGACTAAGAAGTACATAATTCTAACAGGGCACAAAAACAGAAAGTGTAGATGGAGAAGAGTACATAAAGTTGCACCAGCCAAAATCTCACTCCCCAGAAACACTCGCGTTAACATTTCTCTCTTAGTTATCTGGATGAGTGAGTCCCCAAGTAATAGGAAAAACAGAATTATGAAAAAATAGGACACCGTAAAATAATACTGTGTAATATTTTGAGTGAGAAATTATTCTCAGTTCTATAACATTACAGCATATACATCTGCAACTTATTATTAAAAATCCCATCATGTTCTATCATGTATTCATATCAAAATGTTTTATCCAGTGTTTTGGATATATGGGTTGCTTTTGAGGACTTTTGGTTATACAACAATGAATGAGTATCCACGTACACATTTATGGACATGTTTTTAATTGCATCTACAGAGTAAATTCTTGGAACTGTGATTTTTTAAAGTAACCAATTCTTTGATATACTCTTTATTTATATTCTTTGATATATATTCTCAAAGTCACTTGCAGGGAAGTTGTACCAATTTACAATTTCTCTCTTTATCTGATATACCTACTTTCTTCTGGTTATGCCAGAATGACATGTTTACTATTCTTTAGGTAAAAAGAATTCTTTTCTTTAATACCTTATTTTATTACTAGTATACATAAAAACTATAAATAAATTTTCCATTTATTCCATTATAAAGAAATTTTCGGTTCTTGAATGATCATCTATATATTAAGTATAAATAATTTTGTATCTTTTGTTTTATTATAGATTTGTGAGAGCTTTTTAGATGATCATTATATTTCCTTTATTCCAATATACATATATACTGTGCTATATACATTGTATGTAAATATATGTGTATATGTGAATGCATGTGTGTATATATATATATATATATATATATATATACTTCATTATAAAGCAGCTTTTAAATTCTACAAAACTAAATATATCACAGGATATTTATTTTTCTCGTTCATCAGCAAAATCTTTCAAAATCATGTACATATTCACTTTTATATCCTCTAGCCATTTCCCACTAGCATTCTAAATATTACAGTATTAATGCATTTGCTTCAGAAATAAATTAAGAAGTGGGATTTAACTTACAGCTACCCACTTTTAAGAATGCTATTGAAAATATTCTTTTTCTCTCTAATTATTTTAAAGGTTGCCTTTAATTATATACTAAATTAGAAATATATGAAAATGGTTTAAATACCCCACAGTAAAAGATAACTAAACCAACCTTGTCAAACTATTATAGAGCTATAATTCCATATAATGTTTACAATGAATTTATAATAACAATAGAATGTTTTTATCTTATGATAAGTAAGAAGCAATCTAGGACCAGTAATATAGCTCAGTAGCACATGCCTGCCTGGCAAGCACAAGGTCATGAGTTCAATCCCCAGTACCAAAAAAATAAAAAAATTAAAATTTAAAAAAAGGTAAATTTAAGAAAAAAATTTCAAATATTCTAAAATCTACATTTGGAAGATAAAATTGCATATACATAAGCAATGGTAATCTTTCTATGTTAAAAATACAGCAGGATGGTTCTTGCTTATTTTGGCATTTATGTAAGTTTAAAAAATGTAAGTAAATATATAGTTTTCTTGAAATGGAAATAGTCTTACATTTAAAAAAACTTGATCAGTATACCTTGATATATTCTCTATCTTGAGAGTATGAAGGAAGCATGAATTTGAAACTCTGAGATTTTTGTTTATTTGCAAAAGAATAATCCAGAAGTTTTTAAATCTCATTTACCACTATTAGAGTTTCCGTGCTAACTTGCTCTTTGGGGAGGTGAATTAGTCATCCTACAGGTCAGCACCTTTCAACCTCCTCCTCCACTCGTAACCATGGATCCTAAGGGAGCTCGCTTCCCTTCATTACGGATACCTCCAACGCTTGATGGGGTCAGTTTGCTAGGGAAAATCAATTAGGCACTGTTCCTACAGAGGACTTAAGTTTCCAGAGAGCCTTAAATGAGGCTTGTGTGAAACTGTTCAGAAGACAGCTTCACAGGGGTTTGCATTCTGAGAAATTGTCAGTACTGCAACTTGTATTGATCTGTGTTGAGCAGCAATTCCCTGAAATTACATGAGGTGCTGTACCTGACAATTGTGAGCGTGGCAAAAAACAAATAAAAAGCATAAGACAAAATTCCTCTTAAAAGGAGACACAATGCCATGCTCTACCCAGAAAATGATTACGAGGACAGTCCAAGGTCTTGTGTAGCAAATCGCATGGTACAAGATGTGCTTCTTTTTCTTATCTCTAAGACCCTTTCAGAGCTCACACTCCTGTGAGGAGAAGCGCGGCGGCCACTAAATGCCCACATTTCTTTGGGCCTCCCATTCACTGTTTTCTTAATGTTTCAGGAACACTGAAGATATTTTTTACATCCAAGGAAGGTTTCCTATCCTTCTATAACAGTTATCTTACCATGGTCATGTTCTTGCTCGAAGACACATAGCTACAAAAGTGTACAGATAGAAAACAAAACTAACATTTTTGAGTAAAGATGGTGAGTTGAATGTATTTACCTTTTTCCAAAATGCTGTTGATCAAAGCGAGTTTTTTACACATAAATGCAAAAGATAATTTTTTTAAAAAAGCAGAAAGAACATTAGTAGCAAAATGAAACCCTATGTGCAAATACATGAGAGGTAAATGATAGACTTGAGAGCACCAGGTCACAGGCTGGCAGCCGTGGAATTTGAGCGCTGTAGCAACTCAGGACTGCAGATCCCAGGTAGGGCCAGGAATTGGCTATGCCACTACTTTGAAGGAGGGGCAATGGGGCCCACATTAGGGCAACGGGTCAAATGTCCATTCAGAAATCACCTAAAGGTGAGAAGACTCACAGCCCTCCATGCAAACAGCTCACTACTCCCCTTTCCTGACGAAATGGAAACCTACTTTCTGGAAATGCACGGAGTCTTTGTCATGTGACTGACACAGTGGGAAGAGTCGTGTTACACTGCATGGAAAGGAGGAACGAACACCCGTCTACACAGAGGGACTGAGCATCTTTCTCCCTCAGCTCCCACAGTGCAGTGCTGGCAGCCAGCCTCTGACACTCCAGACAGGAAATCAGTAACAACCTCCCTGGGACTGTGCTGAGCCTAAGAGAAAAGACTTAAGGATATTGACATTGACATATTATCAGCCGAATGACCCAACTACAGCAAGTGAGTGAACCCACAGCCAATAACGCACACAAGTCACCCGCAGAGCCTTTGACCAGATTTCCCTAGTTATAGCTTATGTTTGATAGTTGGTCAGTAAATGAAAATTCCCAATGACGTGTAAGCAAATCTCTCCCCCACATCATCTCTCTCTGTTTCTCTCTCTCTCTCTCTCTCTCTCTCTCTCTCTCTCTCTCTCTCTCTCTCCATATGTGTGTGTTTGTACACGTGTGATTAGCAGTAGGTACTGATATAAAAGTACTTGTCACTAATCACAATCAAACACATTTGAAAGCCAGTGCCCTAGTGTTGATAGTAACCATCACAAAACATGGATTTTTAAAAAGTGGCAGAACCATAATAATTGGAATTTGATTTTAAAACTTATGAACCAAAGTCCCTTACTATACTCAGAAAAACATGATTAGATTAATAAGTATACACTTCCTTTAAAAGAAATAAGCTATAGGCCCAGAAAAGAGCTCTTGGAACTTAAACAGATACAGTAACAATTTCCCATTATGGGAATAACTTGGAAGAATTGTCCTGGAAAGCAAAAGAATATCTACAATTTATTGAATACTTATTAACTACATGCAAATTAAATAATGTAATTCTCACAATAATCTAAAAGGCAGAAATTATTGTTAACATCAATTTATAAATGAGACTAAAACATAGAAAGGTTAAATCATTTACTGGTATTTACACAGATAATAACTGGTAGATCCATGACTTGAACAAATTTTATTGAAATTTTCTCTGGCAGCTCAAAACTGCATTGTTCTTTCTATTCCAATCCTGATTTTTCCAATCTATTAACACCCCTTTAAACATTTTAGAGCTGCTTCAAACCTTGTTTGCAGCTAACACATAAGGACGCTGAGCCACGCATCTCACTATACTAAAAAGATAAAAGATGAATAAACCACTGTTTCATTTCAGTTACAAGTGTGTGCATTCCTTTTACTATACCTTATTGTTGATGGAAGTAACTAATTTTAAACACGTAAATCTCAGACACAGTGGGTGCTCAGAAAATGTGGAAATTGTTTTAGATCAGTAGAATATCCCACATGGCCAAAGCCCAAGACTGCCGTGGAGAGAAGAGCATAGATTACACTTTTCCCCTCTCAAAATTGGCAAGCCCCCTCCACACAGCCCCTCACTGCTCCCCCAAGCCTCAGACCTTGCAGAGCTGACCCTTTTCTTCTTTCCTCTCACACACCGCCCCAAGATGCTCCGAAGAACACGCAGCGATGTCCTTCCCTGCACACCATGGTTGGATGCAAGCTCATGAATTCCTGGCTCTGAGACGCACATTCAGTCCCAGCAGGATTCTGGCTGTGTCGCCACATGGGAGGCCTTCAGTTTCTGGCTGCCTTGAAGGAATCTGCTCCCTCAGTCCATAGCCAACTGCCACTCCTACTTAATCAGGCTTGGCAGGAGGCTAGCCCATCCCCCATCTGGAAAGCTTTCTGCATCTTCTCCTGGTACTCTGCTGGAGATGGAGAGGCTGGAGCTGCATTCTGAGTCTTTTCTTACTCTTTGGAAATAGGATACAATAATAAAGTGGGAAGATGATAATTTGCTCAAAATGTAGCCTTTTAAATGCCATCTAACTAGAGCCCCTAAGAACTCACCACTAGGACCTAGGATGAACTATTCCCTACTACAACTCAGTTTCCCTATCATTAAATGAGCCAAATGAACTAAATCCATGAGGCTAAACTGTTCCTCAGAGCCCCAGAGTATCACTGCAGTATCAAGGTAAGCAGTGGAAGTAGGAGGCTGAGACAGGCTGAGAACACAAGGCTGGGAGACTCACTCCTGTATCAATTTGAGAAACTTCACGGACTATTAGTATAAGGTTTCATCTGTTGGAAAAATTTTCTGCTGTGAAACGAGAAAGAAAAGGAAAATAGCAGGTCTCATGACCTCTTAAATTCTTAGTGTCTTCATTGATTCTACAGTATGTTTGTGGACCTACTATTTCTTAGTTGTTCTGATTTTGAAAAAAAAAAAATTAATCATATAACCTGTGCTAATTAATTGCATTCTCTTGCTCACATCCCTTACTTATATACAAAGTGTGATTTAAAAAAAAAAAAAAGCACAGCAAATGTTTAAATTGAAAAAGTCAATTATAGTAAAACAGGCCTTGTGGATAATTGCCCTGAAAAACTGACCCTTATTTCAACCACACCCACCCATTGTTCCTGCCAATGCAGCAGCTCCGGAATGCTCTTTCCTAAGTGTCTTTGATTATGGTCTTGTGGCTGCCTGCACATTTTGAGTTGATTTAAAGTGTTTCAATTTCATGATCATTTCGTCTTTGGAGAAGAGCCAGAAGTCACACAATGCCAGCTCTGATCAATCAGGTAGAGGAGGACAGTGCCACTATTTTACAGCTCTCCCTTTCTATTGGCTGGATCTCTGCAGCAGCAGTCACCTTAATTTCTTACCATATCTTGTAGTGATGCTAAGGAAAGAAAACTTGCAGAGCTGTTCTGGTAAATGGCAATAATGATGGGATAAGCAAGTCCCCAATAAAGGGAATGTTTTGAGCCAGATTAATAGCAGTGTATCTTTTACCGCAATACATTTTGCTTTAATTTCAATGTTCACTATCCATGTGTAGGCAACGCAGTTTAGGAACAGAAGCCATTCAAAGGGCACTCTCAAAGAAGGGCCATTTACCAAGGTATCAGGACGATTACTTCAATTCCTGGTTACACTCCTTATCAATACCAGATATGTGTCTCAATTGGAGATTTTATAAAGTCACTTCAGGATTCATTGCAAAGGACTGAATTCACAATAAGAAAGAAGTTGAGCCAGAAGAGTCAACAGAAGACTGAGAGGGAGAGATGGAAAGAGCTAGTAGTACAGATCACATGCCCTCTGCAGGCCTGGGAGTGAACAGAAGAAAGGGGGCACTATGATAATTTACACACAAGAAATTGTTCAATGAGGTGAGGTAAACTTTCCAAAGTCCCACAGTAGGTGGCCAGAAGGACCAGGACTGGCATCCAACCCCGAAGCCCCCTCTGCCATCAGTGTGCAGTTTCCATGGCATTCACGTGCGCCATCGTTTCTAAGCCCAGTCTGCCATCTGACTCTGCTGGCTGTCTTCCATGAAGACGTTCGGTAAAATCTTTATTTCAGGGTACCTGGTGGTTCCACTGCTGCCACGCCTCTACTACTTGCGCTACCAAATCCCCTCTTCTGTATTATTATTTTTCCTGAACAGGATCACAATTACCTGTTCTCCAGAGGGAGGGGACTAGAATCAAATCTCACTCTGTCCTAATGCTTCACTCTCCAAAGCAATTTTGTCATCTGCTTTAAATACCTCACATTGGGAGGGTCTTTGGGTAATTTTTCTCATTCCCACTCTGATTATTTCTCTCCAGTTTTCAAATCATCTTATGTCTGAAATAAGGCAATTCCTTCTGTGAAAAAAATCTCACCTCTATTCGTTTTAAGTCCAAAGTTGTTATCTGTAGAAATCATTCCTGTGTGTGCATTTGTACTTTCTTCCAACTTCTAAAGAGTATGAAACTAGGTTTGTCATACAAAGTTATCTGAAAGTACCTATTGTCAAATAAGGACTACATGCCTCTACTATTTTGTTTCAACTAATTCTAATGACAAGGAAAGAGAATCTGGTGGTTGGTTATTTAGTCTAGGTTAGTGATCGGGCCACAGTGCTAGTGAGTGATCTGTCAGTTATAAACAGTTACTGTCTTTATGCACACAGTTCCAGCCAGCAAGGTCTTATGTTTCACCTCCATTGAGCTGGAAATTAAGTTAAAAGTTAGACCCTGGTTTACAGGTAAAACCAAATTGGATTCAAAGGTACATAAGCAGGAGGTTTTATGCCTTATAGTGCTTTCCCAAGTAGAGTTTCAAGTAAAGTACTGAAAGATTACACTGGAAGATCTAGCTCCATTTTGTCTATCTATTTATCTATCTGATTCTAGGTATCCATTTATTCTAGCTAGCTAGCTATTGCATCAACCCATTTTCCATTCCTATAATTAAATGCCCAAGAGTGGTTATCTTATAAACTAGATGGGCTTATTTAGCTCATGGTTTTGGAGGCTGAAAGTCCAAACTGCATGGCACCAATTCTGGCAAAGTTCTTGGAACTGATGGCATCGTGGGGAAGGGTGTAAATAAAAGGGTAAATCACATCGTAAGACAGGAATTCAGGGCTCATGCTTACTGTTCTACAGCAAAAGTCTTCTAAGGACTAAGCAGGGTCCCAGAACACTCAGTCTCTAAGACAGCACTTTGAACGACCTAAGGCCTGCCCCTCGGCCATACCCCTTAAAGGTCCATGCCTTCTCTCTTACTGTTGGCACTCTGTGCCCAAGCTTCCTACACATTAACATGAAACTGAGGGAGTTACACATACACACATACACACACACACACACACACACACACACACAGAGTCATAATATTCCAATTAGGGAACACGTGTATGACAATGATCTCATAATATGTGAGACAGCTGGAAAATTTTCGTCATTGCATTAGCATAGCACAGTAATTACTTGTGGATTTGTAGCAAGCCTAGTGATATCCACAAACTTACTGACCTGCCAGCCATATAAAAGTCCAGGACATACAACTATGTGCAGCACATAATCTTTAACAACAAATAGCAATGTTGTTGCTTTATGTACTTGCTACACTTAAATCATTCTTTTGGAAACTTTCATATAAGCAGAATTTATATTTTTTAAAAAAATTTACCATAAAACTATGCTGTGTTATATGTCAGTAGTCTCCAATAGCTTGTGTTAACCTCATCTGTTGACAGCCTTGAAAGGCTGCCTTGAGGGATTGGCCTGTACCACCTAGGCATCTTCCCACAAAGATGAAATTAACTAAGAATGCAGCTCCCAGGACCTGACTCTGCTGGTGAATGATACATTACTGTACATGGACACACACACACACACACACACACACACACACACACACACACATGAGGTGTGATCCAAACACATGGTTCTTGTTTAAATTTCAAATCCTGATTACAGACGTAAAGGACACATTGGCATAGACTCCCTCAACACACTCCCCACTTTTACACCTTTTTCCAGTCCTCTGGCTACATCCTGAAGGCACTCTGAAGTCCGCTGCTGTGTCTTTGGAGGTGCTGCATTGGCTGTCTTGGTGTCCTGAAGTGATTTGGAACACCTACACTTCAGGGTCATTTTGACTGTGAGGAAGAGCCAGACGTCACATGGCGGAGTGTCTAAGGCATGTCAGTCACATGAAGAAAGCAGACGAGGGCACATCATGGTCACACCACCCTTCTTTTCCACTGGACAGCATGAGGCAGCAGCATTCACTTTTCTTCTTAACCCCATCCTGTAAAGACACCAAAGGTGAACGCCAAAACTGCTTCGGAAAGTGGCAACAAGAGTAGGGTAAGTGTGTTAGAAGCAAATTGAAGTATTTTCAGTAGGGTTAAAGTATTTTCAGTAGGGTTTATGCCTTTAAATGTAATAAATTTTAAAAACTTATATATCATTCATAGTAATTTTCATTCTCCTTTTGTATGAATATAATGTGTGTGAATATACATATGCTTTTGGCCATTGTCCTTGCATAATATTTTGGTCAGAAATTTCAGAGGTCGGGAAAATTACAAGGGAAAAATTTTTCACCTCTAATTTTTAGCACTATAATTTTTTAAAAAAAAGAACCTAGGTTTTGTGAAACTACATGCTTATGTTAATTTGGGGTTCTTTGTTAATAGAATAATCACAAAATTATAAATACAAAAGCACTATATATTACAAATTTTAACAATTTGGCAAACCTCAAAAAACCCTAGAGCGTTACATTTTTTATTAACTACTATCCTACCATACATTTTTAATACCACTCTTGCTAATGTTTGGGGCTGCAAACTGTTCTTTCACATGCAGTATTTTTTAATATTTTCTGTACAACAATGAGATTAATTAAATTTATAACTGGATTTCCTCCAGCATGATTAATCTAGTATTTTTTATTGCTGATGTAAAATAGTTTCTCTCACATTAACAACTCATTTCTTATGATGTTTCTCTAAGTTGTTTGGTGTTCTGTGTATCTGCTCTTGCTAGCTCAGCAAAAAACCCAGTGAGCACCCCCAACCCCTTTTGCTCACCCAAGTCCACTAAAGCTCATGCAAACTCCTATGGGCCTCACCACCACCCCCACTTTTGTATGTCCCATCACATAACCCTTACTATGAGAGAATAGACTACTGCAAGCACAAAGCAGAATAGCATCTGACACCAATCATTTCCTTGGGGGCTAAGATACGGTTGAAATGTGTAGTGAGATACAAAGTGGGCAGGTCACTGATGGCACTCCAGTAAAGGCAGACACTGTGCTGAGACTCTAGGGCCCACCCACAGTGACAGGACCCCCATGATGGCCAGGGCCCCATTCCTCCAGTTCCCCACTTTTACAAGGCTCCCTACTTCTTTGGTGAACAGCACTTGGGAACATAGATGAAGCATGTCCAAGCAAGACGTCCTGAAACCTAGGATTTGTATCCTCCTCATAGATTTTAACTCCTGAACATTTTCCAGGCAGGTTTGGTCAAGCATTCTTTTTACTTAAAATCTTTTTCTGTGTACACCACACCCCTCCTATTCATTGTTCCATAGGCCACTAAACTATGACAGAATTTCTGGAGACCCGTGCCAGAATGAGACTCGCAGCCTGTAGCTTAGCCATGCTTTTTATTATAACATTTACCACAGTACATCACATCCCATCCTGTGTCACTGCATGTCTACCTCCTGAATAAACTGAGATGGAAGGACAGGGACTCTGGCTACTCGTTTCTGTCCCTTCCTTTGCAATAAACCGTCACATGGTAGACATTTAACAATTACTGCTGAAAGCTTCACTTACTGCTTCACCAGAACAATTACGCATCACAGCATTTCATTCCAGCATCTTACATCAAATTTCTACTTATAACAATTTTTTTTATTTTGTTTTTTTTTGCATTAAGAACCAAGTAACTTTACATTGGAAGCAACAGTCGCTCAGAACAAACTGAAATGATCGTGGGTACAGAGGTGCGCGCATGCCCTGCCCTGCCCGGTGACCCTGGGAGAACCCCCTGGTCCTGGGGACAGTCCACGCTCAGTCCTCTTTGTCGCCCTGGGTGCCGGGGACAGTCCACGCTCAGTCCTCTTTGTCGCGGTCCTCCAGGCTGAGCCTGCTGAAGAGGACGCTGACCAGGCCCTCCCTCTGGGGGCCTGCCCTGCGCAGCTCGGTCAGGTACTCGCCCAGGCCCTTGAGCACCGGGCCCAGGGGGCGCAGGTAGTGGCGCGCCAGGAAGTCGCAGAGGGCCGGGTCGCTTCGGCTGGCCGCCAGGCGGTGCAGCTCCATGAGGCTCTGGCGCAGCGCGTCCTCCAGGTGGAAGGCACACTCCACGGCCCAGGCGCCCCCATGCCAGTCATCGCTGTTGGGCTGCGCGATGTCGCGGAGGACGACGCTGCCGCCGCGCTCGTTCTGCATGAACATGAGCTTCTCAGCAAGCTCCTGCCACTGGTGGGAGCGGCGCAGGAAGAAGCGCGCCAGGTGCTGCAGGGCCACGTCGAGGCGCTGGCAATAGCAGGCCATGGACAGGTAGACGTAGGAGGTGTAGAGCTGCAGCTGGATCTGCATGTTCACTGCAGCCTCGCACTCCACGTGGTAGTTCTGGGGCGGCTGCATCGGCGCGGCAGCCATGGCGGGCTCGGCGAAGGCAACGGCGAGGGCGGTGGTGGCCAACAGGTTAGCGCTGGCTGTGTGGTTAGCACGAGCGGGTGGGCAGCAGCGGCGGCGGCGGCGACGGCTGCCCAGCTGGCGATGTCCGCGTGGTCCCCCCAGGGTGGCTGAGGAAAGCAGGCAGCGGAGGGCTGGCTCCAGGCAGAGGCCAAAGCGAGCGAGGCTGACGCGTCTAGCACAAAGAGGAAAAGGAAGGTCCCAGAAGTGGGCGGGGCCGGAAGGGGAAGTCCCAGAAGTGGGCGGGGCTGAGAGGAGGTGGTCCCAGATGGTGGAGCCTTGAAGAAGAAGGTTCCAGAAATGGGTGGGACCAGAAAGAGAAGGTGCCAGAAGTGGGCAGGGCTAGAAAAAGAAGATCCCAAAAGTGGGCAGGGCTGGAGGAGGAGGGTTCCAGAAATGGGTGGGGCTAGGGGGGCACGTTCCAGAAATGGACTGGACTGGAAGGGGAAGATTCCAGTAGTGGATGGAGCTGGAAGGGAAAGGACCCAGAAGCAGGCCAAGCAGAAGAGGAGAAGGGGCCTATAAATGGCCAAGAGGTGGAGCAGGGGAACAGAAGTGGGCAGTGATCGTTCTGGTGGGGGTGACATTCTCTGAGGGTGCCGTCAGGGGTCAGGAGTCAGGGGTTAGCAGTCGGGGCATGCGTGCAGAGTTCAGTGAGCAACCTGGGCAATTCTGCTCTAACCTATGCCCCATTTTGAAAGGCTGTGAACATAAGTGCAATTTTTTTTCACTTAATCACCTGGATGGTTTATTTAAGCAATTTACTTGAATATTGTTCAAATGTGACCGTTAAGTGTAGCAATTTTGGTGGTATATTTGATATCCTAATGCTTTATTTGAATAGTGGTTCTCAAGACTTGAACACTTATTTGAGGCCTCTGAGGAAGGGGTTGGAGGTCAGAGGCAGGCACTCAAGTGCTGAATTTCCTCGGCAACACAACTTTGCACTGTCTTGTTTCCATTGAATTTTGAATTTTGTAACATTTTTAGCATCCAAGGGCTTCTCTTTTCCTGTTTAGTGCTTTTCTAGCACAGACTGTTTTCACTTTATAAACTTATGATCTTTATAATTTTGAGATGAATCTGAAGGTTTTGAATTTACCCTCGTAGTACTTTCTCTTATATTGAATAAAATGTGGGGGAATATTTTATATTTATATAATTTAAAATTTACAGAAAAGTGCCGTGTGTGGTGGTGCACACCTGTAATCCCAGCACTCTAGAGGCTGAGGCAGGATGATCGTTGTGAGTTCCAGACCAGCCTGAGCTACAAAGTGAGCTCAAGGCCTGCCCAATTGCATAGAAAGACCCTGTCTCAAAAAAGACAAAAAGATAATTTACAAAAAAGTGTCAAAAATAGTAAAAACAACTTTTACCCAGATTCACCAGTTATTCACATTTGCTGTGTCTATCAAGCTTTCTAGCTATATACATATATTTTTCCTTCCATCATCTGATAGCTACACATATTATGCCCCTTCTAATCCTAAATATTCCATGTGGTACTGAGTAATGTTCTAAAAATTGTTTTCTTCTAAAAAAAATCCTACAAGTCTAGAACTATAATTTTATAATCCTTAAAATAAGAAATCTTTTCTTTGAATTTTATTGTCCTCTTTATCTTTGGTTTCTATAGTCTTAGGGCATATATTTTTTATATATGAGGTTAGTTTCCTTTGCCTTCCTAAAATTGAACTATAATTCAGTTGGCAGCTGCCATTAGTGGAAATTCTGATAAAAGCATTTCAAAGGTTGTGAATTAATATCACATCATAATTATAGAGAAAAAGCTGTATACCTCAAAGTTATGCACCCTCTTTATGTCCTAGCAGATATTACGTATTGAAATGTCACCTTATTAGTAAGTCGGGATTTATTTATATAATGTTTTAGAAATATCAGTTTATACTGTTACCTCTTTCTGCCTAAGGCCTGGTACAGTGTGAGTACATAACTGGTATTCAATAACTGATTGTTGAATGAATGTAATACATATTCAGTATATTTTAAATAAGTAATCACAGGACTTTCCTTTCCCTCTCATTTTCTCTGAATAGGGTAGAGGGGAAAAGACACTAATTCACTTAAATCATTGCTCTTGGAGACTCAAGTAATTTGTGTATATAGAACTTGAAGGACATTTGTACTCTGGAAATGTGGTAGATGGTTTTAAGAGGTAATTAATTGTGTGTATCTTCCTCCCTAACATTCATATGTCCTCCCCTTTTCGCAGCCAGTCTTTCTGAAAGAATATTGTCACCTTCACTTAGCCGCCTTCCACTTGCCCCTTAACTAAAAGCTGGTGATTGGCTCTGTGTCCTTATCAGACCTTTCCTGTGAGGTCTGAAACCCTCATTCTAAATTCATATTACACTTCATAAGTCATTTCTTATTTGACTTTTTTCTACCTAGTTTCTGACAAATGCTTTCTTGAAAAGCAAACACACACACACACAGAGACACCAAAAAATATTACCTTGGTTTCTTATATTTTGCTTTCTCCTAGATTTCTTATTTTGACCTCTTCATCTATTCTGGAAGCGTTACTTCTCAGATCTCTTCATTCTTGTTCTTGTAATCACTCTACTGCTGTCACCTTTGGGTAATTCCAGTTCAGTGATTTCTAGGTCCTCTTCTTTAGCCCAAACTTCTCAGTCCGTCTCCTTACTGCCCCACACTTGTTCCATTGTCACCAGCAACCAACTGTTCTTCCAGAACCTCCTCTTGTGCCTAGGTTCCTTACTTTGGTTAATTTCAAGTCCATTGTTTCCTATGTTTTCTCAGCTCATTCCTCTCCGCCCCTCTTAGTTCTAAATTCTGCCGCTTTTACTGCCTCCCACTTTATGATAAATCACTGCTATCGCATTTTCATTGCTGTTACCGAGGACTACACATATCTGCCTCCTTACAGCCTGTCTCTTCATTGCTTTACAATATTATCAGATTAGGGTTTTTACACGCACTCTTGCAGTGCTGCTCTCTGTTTAACACTCTTCAGTGACTTCGTGAACTCTCCAGAGAGAACCAAAGTTCTCAGGTTGGTATACAAGGTCTTCTCCTATGTCTTCCCCACCCAAAGTTCTGATAAAGCAGACTTACAGCTCTTCAGCTGCCCTGTGTGTCCAGCCCTCCATACCTTGGTGGATGATGTATCCCTTGTATCAAGTGCCCTGCCATTCTTTCCCCCCAGAAAATCCCATGCATCCTGGCAACCTCAGCATCATTGTCTCTCTATGGAAACTGTCCTGCTCTGTTCAAGCAGAACCTAACTTACTTTATGTCACCACTGTAATTTCAACCTACCTCAATTGTACCATTTATTGAATTGTATTGTTCTGATTTCCTAAAGTCTCCATTATTAGAATGTGAGCTCCACAAGGGCAGGAAAAGAAATAGCTGTGTTCATTTTGGGAACTCTATAGCATTTAGCATTTAAAAATATTTGGTGAGTAAATTTCTTTTAAAGAGAAAACTTTATATTCTTAGAAGTCATACATACCCTCCTTTTGCTTTACAGCAAGTATCACAAAACCTCAAAATTTGTAGACTTTTAGGGATCAGAAAAGCTGAAATTGTATTCAATTATTAGATTATTAGAATGTCAAAGAAGAAAATCATCTTTTAGCATTCTCTGTCAGTATCTAATACATCTCTGACAGTGAAATGTGAATACATGATCAGTAAAAGATTATTGAGATAGAAAAAAATAACATGAAATATTTCACCTAATCTTTACAGGGACCCCATAAGCAAGAGTGGTATCCTTCTTCTAAAGAGTAGATATTGAAGCATAGTAAGGTTGTATGAATGGTCCAGTCAAGGAGACATCAAATAAGACACAGATACTAGTAGGCTGAATCCAAGCGCACCACACAGAACCACTTCACTGTCTGTAAGAAATCAATATTCAATAGTCTGAGTCACTCCATAATTCACTTTTACTGCTACCAGCCATGGTAGAGTGTGCTCCATAACTTTATTTAAGTCACGTACTATAAAATATCAGTCAACTGGAAAGCTCAAAGCATCTCACTAATTGAATTTTTTGATTGACATTTTAGTAACCATTCCTTTGCCTTAGTAATATAAAACACAACATAGAATATAAAACACAGACAAATCTTTAGTTTCAAACTTAGAATCTCCCAGCTCCCCAGCGACATACTTTTCAGTATTAGCAATAACTGTTCCACACATGACTGCAGGAAGACTGACAGGCAGCTTTGGACATTAGACAGATGGAGAAAGGGCAAGGTGCACTTAGAACACATGACCCAGGAGGCCATCGCTTCTGAACAGTGTGACACTCAGGAAGCTTCTCAAAGAGTCCCGCTCATCTCAGACATGGGATGTTGATTGACTTAATTACTGTGCACTACTATTACTGGGCCACTGGATATTATCCTTTTAGGAGTGTTTATTCACTTATTCCTTTACTTCCCGATTCATTTCATTCCTTTCCTCACGTTCTGTTCTCATCCTGTCCACCACAGCAGTGTTTTAATGTGCTTAGCCATCTTCTTCGTTTTATTTCCTCTTGAAAAAAATATAATAGGGCTCTCTCCCCATGTATTTTAAATACACATAAAGTTCTTTTTTTCCCTAGCATGCCCGTTTACTCAGCAGTACGTTTGAGGCCTGTTGTAGTTAGGGGTTGTGCAGAAAATAATTAGAATCAGGACATGGAGTTATAATATTATTTTTATAATGGTCACCGAAAGTTAACACAAGAAACTGCAGGAAATCTATCTGCAACACCAAAGACATAGATTTAGTCAAGAGCCTAAATCCCACAGCAATGTCCCACATGAGTCCAGATAAAAACCCAGAACTCATGACAGTGCCTCCCACGAGTCCAACTGGAGGTCCAAAGCCCACAAGAAGGACTCACACCAGTCTCTTCTATGGATCTGTGCTGGGAAGACCCAAGGGTCAGCGGTGGAAGCCAGAAAAGTCCGTGCCAGCAGGGTGAAGGAGCTGTGCTGGTAGGTTGAGGGCTCTACGCTGGAGCTGAGAAGTCACACTCACAACAAGACCAGGGCTGTCCTCAAAGGCACCACAAGCCATCCTCAGCAACACGGAGGCCCCGAGCTCCTCCTCCCACAAGCAGTCAAGTACATGCCAGGAAGCAGCGTAACAAGTTCATCCTGGAGACCAAGCAGCACATGTCTTCCCCTCCAGAGCCAGGAAGCAATGCTCAATGTGAGGACCAGAGCTCCTCCAGGAGAACCAATGGCTCAAACAGCAACTCGTGGGAGAATCCACAATGCCTCAACGCAACAACACATTAACGCCTCAACACCTCCTTTCTTCTCCACCTATTTATGTTGGCAACTTTCCTCAAGTGAAGCATCTTCACTCAGTGCCATGCTGATGTAATCCAGCTGGTGTTAAGTTGACCACCAGTTCTTAATCCATAACAAGACCTATCCATGGCACACCATGCAACCGTCCACGTTTCTAAGCTGCACAGTTCTGCACAGTGCTCAGCGTATTTTACCTTTCCATTCTCTGTCTCTGTGTCCAAGCCTCTAGATTAAAAAGTTCTGAGAGTGACACACTTTTTTCTGTCTCTTTTGGATCTTCGTTTGGGGCAATAAATGCAGTTCACTGCCTTCAATGGCTGTACCTACACCTACAACTAGTGTTCGTTGATGCACTAATGAATCCACAATATCTAGCATAGAACATATATTGTATGATGTACTTTGCTTTGCCTCAAGTGGAATGGGTGAAAGAGTGAATGAATGGTTATGGAATGAATTAAGTTCTGACCCAGAGAGCTGACATTTCAGGGATGGGAGATAGGAAACTTAAAATTTAAACACCGTTGGAAATATCAATAAGGCTAGGTATGGTCAAGAAAAACGGCAGACTAGAGGTGCCTAACCTCCATATCGCCTATAAAAGTCAGGGGCCAAAACGTTAAGTATATGAATATTAGTATTTCAAGGAGAATGTTGGGGAATGCTAGGAGCCCGTGCAACCAGCAAAAGAAGGGTTATGTACAGAGGAGAGTGAAGCACCTGCCTCTTCCAGTCGGGGTCATTCTGGAGCAGACTGAAGTTCCCCTGCAGAGAAGAGCTAAGCAGGAAGACTCCAGCGTTCCCATTAGTGCTGTGGACACTTGCAGTGTTTTCCGTGGGAGGATTCTGCAGTCCCTGTGGAATGTGGTCCAGTTTGGAAAACCACCTAGCTATTCTACCCTCAGAAAAGGAGAAAAGATGGTGCATTTGCCCTCCCCTCCACCCCCTGCCCCTAAGACTGAAGTTACACAAAATGATCTGAAATTAGAGCTGCTGCCAAATTGCATCCTATTCTGGGTACTACTAGGCACTGGGTTTCTCCATCCTCCAGGTTGTGCAGATTTCGTACTGTGCTCCACACGATATGGCATTGTTTCCACCCAGCTCTTCAGTCCTATATCCCAAGGGTCACACTGGGTAAGACATGCCCCACCTTACACTTCCTGGTGACTGCGGTGTCCCAAGCCCATCCTTTCTGAACTTAGGTACAATGTCCAGACACTGGAACACACTTGGTCTTCTTCCCATCAAAAGATAAAGGTCCTGCCCATGAGCAAAGCTGTCTGGGCCAGACTTGCCCAGAGTATAAGGAATCCCAGGAGAGCCTCGGCTGAACCAGCAGACCAACCACACAGACTTCTGCAGGCTATGTCACACAGGTCTCCATGGGAATGACTGACTTTCGCTATAGTTTTAAAAATCTACACAGAGACTCTATTACTAAGTCCACTGGAAACTAAAGCATGCACTCTACCCAATCCACACCCAAGAGTACTCCTACAAGAGAAGTCTTTTCCTACAAAAGTCATTCTATAAAAGTAGAACAGGCCACCATTCCACCAGATGCACAGATGCCAGTGCAGGGACAAAGACACATCTAATAAAGTGAGGCACCATTTCAACACCAATAACCACAATAAAGAGGGGAATACATGAAGAGAAATGCTAAGAAAAATATTTTAAAAATTTAGTGACATACTAGAGAATACACAAAGACTGTTCAAGAAAATTATAAAACCAATTCATGATGTGAATCAGAAATTCAGCAGGTATCATTTTTTAAAAAGGAACCAAACAGAAACCTTGGAGCTGAAAGAAGTCAATGAGAGAAATCAAAAACTTTTGTGGTAGCAGATTTCACCAAACAGAAAAAAGGATTCTGAGTTTGAGGACAGATCTTTTGAAATGATCAGTCAGTAGAGAAATAGGAACTAAAAGAGCCAAAAGCATCTATGGAGCTCAGGACTGTCTTTAGGCAAATAAAATAAATATAAATAAAAATTTAAAAGTTTTGCATTAAGAAAGTTTTAGAGTGAAGAAAGAGGCAAAGAAATATTATCAAATCAAATAATATTGGAAAATTTCCAAAGTCTTGTATAAGATTCAGGCAGCCAGTTCTGTGAAATTAATAAAAATTCATACAAAGTCAAACCACAGAGGTCCTCCTGGGGGCACATTATAATCAAACTATAAAAAGTAAACAATTTACACTCCCCCCCAACAGTGAAGAAGGATTCCTTTTCCCCCACAGCCCTGCCAGCATTTGTTGCTGGTTGATTTCTTGATAATAGCCATTTTTTTTGAACTGAGATGAAATCTCAGTTTTGTTTTAATTGGCATCCCTCAAGTGACCAATGATGCTGAATATGTTTTTATGTATTTATTTGCTGCTTGTACTTCTTTATCTGAGAAGTGCATATTCATTTTAGATGCCCATTTTTAGATGGGGTCTGTAAGTTTGGGGGTATTTTTTGTAGTTCTT